GGTCAAATAAATAACATGAAAAAAAACAAAATAGAAAGTGTTCATCGGAATGCTGGTTATTCAACATTATGCAAGATTGCAGATATACTTTCTGGTAAACTAGCAACATTCGAAGATAATACAGAACTGTCACCAAACGACCTGACATTCTTCAAATGCTCCTGTCACATCATGTGATGTGGAACGAAGTTTTTCCAAATACAAAACTATCCTTAGTGATAATCAGCGATCTTTCAAATTTGAAAATTTGAAAATGCATGTAGTTATAAATTGCAATTGTAACAGTGAAAATTGAGACGTGAATAACTCAGTGAAAATTGAGACGTGAATAGCTTGTGTTCTTTTAAATGGTGTTTTTAGATAACAGAGTTAAGTTAGTGTTCATACCATGTGCACCAGTGTTTGTCTAAAATATGAACGCAAATATCAGTATTAAAAAGAAAACAATGAATGGTTTAATCCAGTACGAAATGTCGAAATTCCATCAGTTTTCTTTCCTTCAGAGACATAATAGGGCTAATTTGGTAAGTAGGACCTACTATCATATATTCATCATCTTTATTCTTAAACTCTAGTAAAAGTTGTAATTAAAATTGTGAAATTTTATGTCCCATTTAATATTTAAGGTCATATTTTACACTTTTTAGGTCATATTTGACATAATTTTGGGTCATAAGTGCATGCATATATTTATAGTTTTTAGGTCATAAAAATCCGGGCCCTAGTTATAAGGATAATAAAAGGATGTGGCTACAGGGAGTCATGCAGAGAACAGTTTAGCAATATGAACATATTTCCTTTAAGATCACAGTAGTAAAACATAGAGAAATATCTGATACAAATAGGGATCACTATGAAATAAATACTAGACATAATATACACACGAGACAGGTAAATTTGGCAAAATATGGTAATGGGGTAATTCACATGGGCGTAAGGATTTACAGTGCACTACCTAATGAAATGATATAAATAAGTTTAAAAACAATTTAAGGGAATTTCTTTATTTACATTCTTTTTATACACTGGATGAACTTTTTAAGAGATAATGATTATACAACTATATAAATATATAAGCTGTTGAGTAGTGTAGTAAATGGATAATCATCGTGAATGTACAACAACCATACTTATAACTGAATGGTTTTATATGTTGGATTTGTTGTATATGTTAAAGCTATATGACCAAAATATTTTGTTACTTCTGACAGAAACTTTTATCTTAAATTCTTATTTTAAATGATAATTTTGAGTGTACTGTGCTAGAGAGTAATTGTATTATGATGTAAACAAACACTGTCATATATTATAAGTCTTTCTGAAGATTGCTTGAAGTATTAGCACGATAAATTGACACAAGGCATGAAGCTGATCTAGTGTTGGGGTTACAAATGGTGGGGCTATGCCTTCATTCCTCCATAAGTCATGATGTAATGCTTCATTAATCAAGGCCAGGGATAACTTTATCTTTATTGCTATATTCAACATTCAACAGTCATCACAGTCTTCTAAACTTGGATTATTCATAATTTTTTCAATTATTTGTGCATCTTTTCCTCTTTGAGATGTGGAGAGAACAATGAACATGAATGTGATCCAAAAGCTGATGCCTTCACACGAACAGACTATATACACCATGGCAGGGAGAACCCTATTAGATGCCATAAATATTAGTGATTAGTGGTATCACATACGAGTATAAACTGGATACTACTACAGACACCAACNCTACTTCCCACCAGCCCTTATCGTAATTTTGCTTCAGAAGCAAGCTGTACTGGACAGCATTAAGTGAAACGACCTCCATGGTGCTTTTGAAGCCTGGAAGAAACAACAGGATCACTGCATACGTTCCTAAGGAGACTATTTTGAAATAAATGGTAGCCAAAATTGAGCAAGTTAATCCAGTGTGAATATTATAATATTCACGTTTGTTCAAAAAAATTTGTGCTATCAGAAAGTTCCCAGGCTAGGTCAAAAAAAGAAACACTGGATTAACTTGCTCAATTTTGGCTACCATTTATTTCAAAATAGTCTCCTTAGGAACGTATGCAGTGATCCTGTTGTTTCTTCCAGGCTTCAAAAGCACCATGGAGGTCGTTTCACTTAATGCTGTCCAGTACAGCTTGCTTCTGAAGCAAAATTACGATAAGGGCTGGTGGGAAGTAGTATCAGATTTGTGATCCTGATGGTAACAATACAGGTGATGTTGAATTCCACTCAGAGGCCTCTAGTTTGACAAGGTACTGATGATGAATATATGAATCTGTGTAGTAATCATACGTGAGGAGCATAAAGCCTATCATTTGCCTAAGCTAGTGTTGAGGTTAAGAACTCAGTTTCATCTCTATTTCCCCACATTTTTATGGCTTTGTACTTAAATACAATAGGTACTTGTAACATTTATTTTCAAATCCAATTAATTCACTTCCCATGGTGTGATATTTGTATCTCTTAATGATAAAGGCAGTTATCCATAAACCTGATTCTTCTCATTAAGTGTAAACAGAGCACAGAACTGCTCTACCCATTCTTAAACTGGGCATCAGGTGCAAATAAGCTACACACTTCATGATTCAGCCATGTGTAACACTCAAAGAAAGCCCACTGTCCACCAATGGGGAGGAAATGGGTGGAACTGAGATAAGAGACAGTACAGCTGTGATAAGAAAAAATTACACTACCCATGCAGTCTTATCATAATCATTCATGTTAATCATATGGTAGAAATAAATTACATCCTACGTTTCATCTACATACAAGGGCTGTAACTTTAATAGTGGCAACACTGCTGTAGAGACGCCATGCAATGGAACCAAATGATGTTGCTTATACCACACATTAGTTACATACCTTCCTTTGCGGCCTCCATAGTCTAGGGGTAACGTTCCCACCTCATGACTCAAGGTACGCGAGTTCAAACCTGGCAGAGGTTGTGGAATTTTTAAGGGCGGAAAAATTCAGGGAACAAGTCCTCTGGGAGGGACTTTAAGCCGTGGGTCACGTGTCATAG